TAAGGCCCAGGGTAGGGAACTTGTCTAAATCCAAAAATTTGAGTTGCAACCCATCTAGAAGTAGAACTGACCTGACTCAAGCCTTCCTCATGTGTGTTTCCATCTGATAGGCTTCAGGGTTTTGTTTTGAGGAAATGGACTGGCAGTTAAGCACATAACAAAACCAAAGCACAGACAGGGTGACTTCCCAGGCATGGAGTAGGGGACAAACTTCTGTTTCCCAATCTCTGGAGAATAGATTTCCAAGGAATGAGGATCTTTAGGTTGTAATTTGAAAAGCTGGAGGTATATTATTTAACATGGGTAATGACCTGTGGTCACAGTTTTGGAAAGCAGGGCTAATTTAGGTGTTTTTCCATACTGTTTCCAGAAATAAATCCTAGGTGTTAGACTCTCTGTCCAGATTTTATGTGTAGAGCACATGGCTACCATATTACCCCTAGGTTTCTTTTTCTGATTTCTCAAGCTAGAATCCTATCTTGAACAGTTGTTACTGAATTGCTACTGACCGAGCAATTGCTACTCAGTTCAGAGTCTGTGTGGCTTCATGGACTATCCCGTCTAAATGCTCACAACAGCTGTGATCATTCCAGGTATAATGTGAAATCAATGGTCTCATGTTACTTCAGACTCACTTCCAAAAGAAAGCAAAAGCACCAAACCAAATGCAAACTGAAAACAACCTGAAAAAAAAGACATTTCACTAAGAGATAAGTCAGTTAGTTTGCACTTGACCAAGCCTGGATTCCTGAAGCAAAGGAGGCTAAGATAGTTGAATCCTAACTGTGTACAAATAGCACAAGTTCACACACATGACCCCAGTTCACAGTATCCCTGTGAAGTAAGTATTGGAAATAGGTACCCTGTTTCACTGGGAAGGACACAGAGGCAGTGTGAGGGTTAATAACCAATTCAAGATTTCATGACTGGAAAGAGACAGGCAAGAGAGGGAGAAGGCAGGCAACAATCAAACTCCCATTCTGAGGTCAAATTGAGGAGAAGGTGTTAAGAATTTTAGACTGTTGTAGCTATTTACTCAAGAGAAACAAATTCCATCCACCAATGAAGTAGAAGATTTTTCTGACATATTAAATTACCAACTACACATCACACTTCTGTCTACACCTACATACATTCTGTGAATGCCAACCCTAAGACTCAAAACTTATCAATGCCTGAGAGGTTATTGGTGCCTTGAAATTTCAAAGCCATGCATGTCATTGAGTAAGTGATCTATTGCACAAGCAAAGTATTAGACCTAATTTTATGTCCACATCAAAAAATACAAAAATACATACCTAGACAGTGGTGTCTACTGGAGTGGCCCATGCTGAACTGGTCATCAGAGGCTGGAGAGGCCGAGGAGCAAAGGAGCAGGAATAGGAACAAAGGAGTCCCTGCAAGGACTCTGCACGGGTACTTCATCTCCAAGTTCTCTAATGGAGTCACCACCTGCTGGCTGCCAAGACAGCCAAGAGAGGGGTAATGAACAGAACAATCCACACTCTCACCTCCTCTTCCTCTTTGTCACACATCTTCCCACCCCCTCCCCATTTTTCAGTAAGTATGAAGCAAATAAAAACCCACAGGAACACTCACAACCCACAAGCCAGTAATCCGAGAGAGAGAGACACAGGGTCTAGAACTAGGAGGAGGCAAGGGAGTCTTCGGTGTGCAGACCCGAGCTAAAAATTGCAGGACAGAGGAAAGTCCAGGTTTCACAGGGTAGCAATAACACTTCCGGCCTCCCCTGCTGAAGTCGGTGACCATAAACGGCTGGGATCATTCTGTGGGCCTACTTGGGTGGTGCTTCCCCTTTCACTCTTGCAAAATAAAACCAAAGTAAAGCTAACATTGAAGAGGAGAAAAATGCACCGCAAGCAATTGTCCTTCAGTAGTGTGATCACAGAGCCCACATAGAGCAGAAACTATGCTGCACTATACTCACAACATATTTAGTTTTGTGTGGTGAGGTCAGTCTTTTTGTTTTGTCATTAAGGAATATTCTGGAAGAGTAGCTTCTTGGCTCCAGAGAAGTCTTTTGGTGTGCAGAGTGTCAAGGGAGTCGATAAAACAAAATTTTAATGAAACAAGAAGAGTAAATGGTTAGAACCAGCCAACTCATATCTATGTTCGACTGAGTGGACTGCATCTATATTCCCAGGATTTCAAAGAGCAATATTTCCTACCTGGGGGTGCTTTGTCCATTTCTAAGAAGCAGCTTTTCTGCTTTGAAGGTGACAATGAAACACTGCTTTTTATAAGCAAGAAAAACTTAGAAAGATCATAGATAAAGTAAAGGCATTTAATCTAAATGCTTTATTCTAAAATAAGATACAGCGAAGTCATGTGACATTATCAGACAAAACCAGAGGACAGGGCCAAAGTACCACTGAGTAGATAAGAAATCATGCGGTTCTTTCTGTCCCTGCTTAGGCCTCAAGAAAAGCTTATTACAGACTGTGATGTATTATGAAAGCTATCTATATTGGCAGCTCTTCTTTAAAGACTAGAAGTTTAAGTAGCAGATGGAGTTCTAGAGCCCTATCTTTTCCAGTGTGTATGAAATATCAATCTTTTTGTGGTTTGAAAATTTTTCAGGCAGGTATTCATCTTACAGAGGTAATGGGGCTAAAATTCTCAAACCTGCAGCAGAGAGTCACACTTGTGAGTGTTTATCTCCTTGCAACCCCAGAACTGGATGGACCAACAAATGCCAGGGGTATTTGGATGTGCTTGGCCACCCAGGAACCTGTGACTTTCCTGAGGAGAAGATGCTGCTGCTTCAGATCTTGACCCTGTGACCAAAGGAAGCTTTGAGGATCACTTGGGCCATCACAGGGGTAGAGCCTAGACTTTGAAGTTGCAGAGGCTTCCTGGGAAGACTGGATATTGGGGTGAGGAGGACAGAAAGGCTCACGTTCAAGCTGTGTGGCTATATTTGTCCTCTGAGGAATGTCAACTTTCTCTTTTCTGTTGCTTCCTTTTGTGGGGAGAAGGATAACATCTGCATCACGGGGTGCTGGAAAGACTCAGGCAGCTGCTGTATCAAGGGATGAAGCACTGCATCTGGTGAGAATTTCCTGCTTATAAATCAGAGCCCCAGCTATTTTCCAGCAGGGTTGAGATGGCACTGATGCTCTTCAAGGGAGGTCTAAGAACGTGGTGATTGCAGTGTAAGTTGTGAGGTGTGGGGATATGCTGTAGGCACAAAAGGGGAGTATTTATCGAATTCTTTTTCTGTGCTTGGTGAAATTCCAGGCATACATGATCTGGTTCATGTAACCAGAGATTGGGGAGGAATCTTCTGAGGGCTCATGGAAGAGCATTCTATTCAGGCTCCGGGTCCCTCAAGGACCCCGTGCTGTGAGCAGGTCCAGGAAATCTCAGGGTGGGAGAAATTTCTTAGTGTAAGTCTGTGCCCAAGTTTATGACATTCATCCTGTGTATGTGAATTGGGCATTTACATCCAGACCCTTCACAAGGATGATGAACTCCAAGAATGTGTGCTGTGCTTTGATTTTTGGACTGCCATAGTGAGTACCTCTGACATGGCTGAGCAGACTCCTTGCCATGTCTGGGATTGAGATTCTGCCACTGGAAAAGAAGACAAAATGATCTGCATCATAGCATGTACTAAGGTAGTGCCTGACATTGTGGGTTTCAATTAATGGAAATGCTTTCCATGCTTGGAGGGTGCAATTCTACTTTCCAGATCAAAACAGCAGCAAAGAGACAACAGTGGTTTTTTACACTGAGCTGAGGGTGAAGTGTGGTACATACACACTGCTAACAAAACCTCAGTCCCAGCCCTTCTACCATCTGCACATGTTCCCTGTCCCTCAGGCTGGCTGGTGCCATTTCTCCCAGTGGGGCTGCCTTTGTTCATACAGCACTGAATATCAATGATGTAGGATCTCTGAATATCCTGCTGGAAGGCTTGCACCCACCTAAGATTGTGACAGCATATTAGATGCCTTATGATGTCCCCAAGGGACCCGTACTGTCAGACACTCCAAGTTTGATTTTCTCAAAATCTATTCTTGAGAATGAAATTTCTTTCTTGAAACACTTTTGTTACTTTGTTTGGAGAGCCCTGATTCAAGCCACAGCCTTTTTCTTTGCCGCAGGAGGCCAAGGACTGATAGCCTCTCGACGTTGCCCCTGTGGTCTGGCTGGCTTTGTATGAATACACCTGCTCCCTGATTACTTTTGACTTGCATTAGCCTCAACCATCTCTTTCACAGCAAGCTCCTTAATCAGAAAAGAATAAAAAAATGGGAAAAGGCCTGGGTGATAGAAGGTACAGTAAAAGCTAGCGCAGTGACAAAGGCGCTACTGTCTGGCTTTGTTCTTGTTCTGACGGTCAGGTTCATGCTGCCCTCTCCCTACTCCTGGCTTCCCGGGATTGTCTTCTGCAATCCTTGTTTTTCCTTTTACCTGCTTAACACAGATCCTTTGCAGATGTTCCTATTCTAGTTGCCTTCTGTTGTCCCTTGAACTTCAGCTCTCTGCTAAGGATGTGTCCAATTAGCCCATGTCCAGGAAGCATGTGAACTGTTTAAAAGATGACCTGGGTCAGGATGGGGAAACTGCGTGGCTCTTTGGCTTCACATCTCAGTAGGTGTGTACCCTGGGCAATCTGCTTTACTGCCTTGATTATTAGTTTATTTAACTATAAAATGAAGGACATAATGCTGATATTATAGGAGAGTTGTGACAATTGAAGAGATAACACGAGGGGAAAAGCATTAATAATACATGCTAGGGAAATTTAAAGCTGACAATGAGAAATAATAAATGCCTCAGGTGATATATTTGTCAATGACCGATCAGATCCTTACACATCACATGCACATGCTGAAATGTTACATTGTACCCTGTAAATTTGTGCAATTGCTATATGTCCAATAAAAAGGAAAGTTTTTTTTAAAATTTAAGACTAACAATGAATTCATATGATCTTTCTTGTGATATGCTGTGGATGTGTTTCACTGTGTCTGTTATCTTGGAAGGTTTAAATGGATTTGTTTTAGAAACACAAGGACACAGTTACAAGGAACAAAACCCTGGAGAAATGGCATGGTAGAGTTCTGATTACTGGAAAGGATTTTCTTGCTTGGAAGTTGTTTCCTTATTGCATGTATTTAAAAGATGTCTACTGTGGGTACAGTTGCTGGTAGAAGAATATGAAAACTAAGGGATCCATCCCTAAGAACCAGGCTGGTAGCTCACAGAGGAAGAGCCAGGGTCCTCTAGGCACTGTTGGTGCAGCAGTGCATGACACAGTGACCAGCCAGAAGTGGGGTCTGGGTTTCAACCACTTTTCTCCTCCTGGGGAGCCCCACTCATTTGCACACTTTGAGATTCTGAAGTATTCTAGAGAGACAATCACACCTGTTAAGAATGGGAGTTTTCTAACAGTTTTATTCTATCTTCAGAAATTATCTATCTATCTATCTATCTATCTATCTATCTATCTATCTATCATCTATCTATGTATCTATCATCTATCTATCATCTATCTATCTATCATCTATCTATCTATCTATCTATCTATCTATCTATCTATCTATCTGATTAAGTCTGTCATTGGTAATTCCAGTTACTGCGTAGCCAGGATGAATTCTAGTAAGCAGAATTTATTTTGTCTGGCAGGCACTTGACAACTTAGACATACATGCTGTTCCAGTGAACTGCTGCTTATAAGTAAGGCAGAAGCATATGGATACAAGTGCAGAGAAAGAAGAGAGGAAAGGGGGAAGCAGCAATAGATAAGACAAAGGGGTTCTTCTGGCTAAAGTGCTATGAGAAAATTGGTAGGAGGTGGGGTGGCACAAAATCTAGCACTAATAGGAAAGTCTGATGGGTTGTGGGCTTGCTGTACATGTGAGCGATGATGATGATGATGCTTTGACCAGATTCTTACAGACTTTTATAGAAATGAATGGGGAGACTGGGTTCCATGTTGGGCTCAGAGCAAGGCAGAGCTAATAAAAGTAGAGGCAGAGACCATGTGAATATCCACTCCAGGGACTCAGGGATCTCAGGGAAGGCTTTGGGGTCCCATATACTATAGATTCAGGGGGAATGAACTTCACCACTCTTACTTAGTTCTCTAAGTTACAGTTAAGGACCAGTGAAATAGCTCAGCAACTAAGCACCTGCTTAGGCAAGCAAAGGGACTGGGGTTCGATCCCTGGTACCACATGCTACACCAGCCCCACTCCTGGGTGCTCTGTTCCAGCCACCGAGACCAGGTGTAGTGGTGAAGGCCTGCAATCCCAGTTCTGGGGAATTTGAAAACAGGAGGATCACTACAAATCTGAACTGTGTAGTGAGATCCTGTACCCAAAACATAAAAAGCACAGTTAATTTGAGTGCAAATAATCAAATAAAACAGAGTAAGTATGGTTTAAGAAAGCATATAATTTTCCCCCCATAATTTTATTGAGAAACAAATAGTAATGAAACAGTTTCAAATCAAATTGGTAGGACAGTTTCAATAATTAACACACTGCATACATTCTTCGTAGTGATTATTTGTTGTTCAAGATGCAGACATGATATCCTATTTACAGACACTATTAGAACAAATCCCTCTATTCACTGAATTAAGAGATTGTAGCTATATATCTATCCTAACCATTTTGAATACACAGCTACAAAATGAACATTC